TACATAGTCGAATCAGAATCATCAAGTCCTGCCTATAGTCAACTGATAGTCGAATTGTGTGTGCTTTTTGTGCGCGGCGATTGCGAGCTTTAATCTTGAGAAGCTGCAGAGCTGCAGTCTCTATTCATTTAACCTACACTGTAAATTTCCAGCTAAACTGAGGCTTTTTGAAGACCCTCTCTCTCTCTCACTCTCTATCTCCTGTCATTCACCGGTCTTGTGTGAGTTTTGCAGGTCTATTTAAAGTAGCCGGCTATTTAAAAACGATATAATATTCTTTGTGTGGTTCATCAACGGTAATAAATTATCAGAAAGTCCCGCAAGGGGCGGACAACTCGGCACAACACCAGTCTCTTCAGCAAATGTTCCTCTTCCGCCACCACACACACGCTACGCCTACAATTTTGGGTTTATTTACGCACTTTTAAAAACATTTATTAAAAGTTTTATTCTTTTTACATGTTCAGGCGGCCGAGACAGGACAGGCAGGGCAATAGTTGAGCTCTATGGAGACCACCAGGGATGGAGATCAGCTGTAACAAGCCAGGAGCTCTTCAAGATGCTGCTCTACTTTTACTCTATCACCAGGTAACATCAATAAGCCAACAAATGAATGAATGGATCAAGGACTATATTAATTAACCAGGCTTGAAACAAACAGTCATGCTGTAAGGAAGATTTATTTTTGTGGTCATGTCTCTTTTACCATGGTCACCGTTGTGTACTAATTTGCCTTATCTTTGTATCTAGGAGAGAAATCAGAGAAGTTGGGATGACACTTATTTTTGATGCAAAGAAGACAAATCCTCAGCCACAGCTCTATAAGGCCTTGATGACGCTTCAGGTAAGAAGCACAGAAACTTCTGTATTACAGCAGATCAGAGCGAACTGTTATTTGGGTGTTTATTCCTGAATAATTTATTAGCGTAAGTGTAAACAGTAGATCCAGGCATCCTCCTGTTTATTAAATAGTTAAGTTTAATGTGACAAAAAAAAATTTTTCCTCACTTATTACAGTTGAATGACTGCATAATGCAGTTCATATTTATTTCAAGTGTCGTACTGTTTTCTATAGTTGAAATCAGTTCCATTTGCTTTACTAAAATTGGAAAATACATTTTTTTCCATTGATTTTTGTATGTTTTGGAATTTTAAAATGTATTCAGATGTATTTGTAATGATCAATAGAAGGGAGGAACAAAATAAAAGATGCATGAATGTAGTTTAATAGGATTTATGCAGTGTTAAACTGTTGCAGGAGCAGACTCCCCTGGCAGTAAACAGTTTTGTGCTGCTGGTGGACAAGGAGAGCAGCCTTCGGCCAGAGCGGTGTCCTGGCACCCAGGTCAGCCTTTTCATTCTTTAGAATATTAATTATAAGACACATAAGACACAAATGAGAAATTGCTCTGTTTGGTTTCCTATAAAATGCTTTTAGTCTGAGTAGCCTATAAGCTTCATTCATCTCTTTGATCAAGGTGTGTATTTAGCCATGCTTGTGGTGTGGCTCTAGGGATGGCAATGTCGGTTGGATTGTTGGCTCATCACTTTGGTCAAGACTAAAATATCTTCACACATGGATTACCATGTAAATGTGACATTCATGGTCCCCAGAGGATGAATCCTAATCATGTTTTGAGTGAAATATCATGACATCTTTTGCTACCAGCAGGTCAAAGTTTTCACTTATCCAGTAAAATATCGCAACATCCTTCATCTTTAGGAGCCACAGCAGGGCTGCAGTTGCATTTATCATCAGACGTTTTTTCATTTTAAAAGGGTATTATATTGACCATTTGTCAAAGAAAATAGATCAAATATCTGTCCTTGTCTAAAAACAATGTACAGCAATTTTGGTACAAAGTGTATAAACTGTTTAACTTGAACATTATTATGAGTTTTACAGTTTCTTGATACATTCATTTAAACTGACTTGAAATATGCTGTATGAAAAATGCCCCTCTCCTTTTAATCCTTCTTATTTATAATAAGGTCACATGAAAGAACTAACAGCAAAAACAATAGGTTAATGGCCCCTCTGTCCTTGTTGCTAAAATATTAGTTTGGTAACAAAACACAACATGAAAAGGGAAATGAGTTTTCAAAGGTAAAAAAACTGCAAAATGATTACATAGACGTGGTTATTGACAACACAGTCAGACCCCACAAGGTGACTTTGTGCTATGGTGCAAGTTGAAAAGTTACTTTAAGGTTCTAGTTTATTTAAGCACTACAGTATCTAAATAATAACTGACAATAATAAGAATCTTCTTATGTGTTGATGTTACTTCGACACTTCTTGCCTCAAAGCAGACTGAAGTGGTGACATCGATGAAAGCCTTGTTCAAGTTGGTGGAGGTGAGTCAGCTGAGCTCCCGCTTGGATGGCACACTGTCTCACAGCCACTGTGACTGGATAGAGCTGCACCAGGTGAGACAGTCACATCAATTCCATATCATTTCTCTCTCTCTCTCTTTCCCTCCCCTCTAATCAAGTAGTGCACTAGTTGTTTCTTCACTGCTTATGATTTACTGTCCAAGTCTTTCATTCTCTAGAAACTCTTCCCATTTGTGACTGATCTTCATGAGGCATCCAGCCTTCTACTGAGGGCCATCAGTAAGTTAGAGGAGCCCCAGACGACGGACTCTGTACAGGTACCTTAATACTGTCCTTTGACTACTTTCTTGTGCTGTTATTTGGGTTTATCCTGATTTATGTAACTCTGTCTTCACTAATAATACAGTGAATACAGTGTGTGTAAAGAGATAATAGCTTCTATATAATTAGTTGGTGAATGCACATGAAAAAAAATAGAAAGCTTTCAAGATTATCTTCACAGCACAAGCACTTCATGTCAACAACACTGCTGACATGAAAGAGTTATTGTATCATTTGCTAATCTTAAAATGTATTTTTGTTTAACAGACTGTGCAGCAGTGCATGATGGACCAGAGGACTTTAATGAGGGATGTACTGGAGGACAGCCGATTGGTCAGCCTGCAGAGGGAGGGCGGAGCTATCCTGGCCAGGCTGAGGAAGGAGAGTGACCTCAAGTACCCCCACTGTGAGAACCTCAGGTAAACACAAAAATTTGATATAATATATGTATATATATTGGGGTTTTTTGAGATCACAATAAAGCCGTAACACTCTCGCTTTGTGCAAAACCTGAAAAACAAATGATAAAAGTTGTCTGTGCCACAGTTAGTTTTACTAGTTAATGGATGCGCCTAACTGTGCTAAAATCAGTTATGTCTAAGCCTTATCCTTCCTTCAAATCTTCTCCCAGAACACCAGTTACTCATTTTATGTTATTTATTTATCTAAAATAAATAAGCCTATAGGATGATCTGGGTTTTTCCTACATGCAGTGATGCAGTGGATTCTGTGACAAGCCTGTACAACCACGTGGAGGAGCAAGCTCACATCCTCGTGCAGAGGTCCAACATGTTGCTGGAACACCTTGAGTATCTGCTGCAAATCAGAGAGATGGAGGGACACTTCATGCAGGTGCATTACAGTAGCCTACCGCCACTTCTGCCTACTGAAGTTCAGATGACTGCAACTTAACTTCAAAATACAGTTCAGTAATGGAAAGAATATGTATGTGTATATTAAAGAGGTGGTATTATGCTCATTTTCTGGTTCAAAATCTTATTTAGGGGTTTTACCAGAACAGGTTTACATGGTTTAATTTTCAAAACACCATATTTTTTTCATACTGCACATTGCTGCAGCTCCTCTTTTCACCCTGTTGTACGCTCTGCTCTTGAGCTACAGAGTGATGCATCTTACTTGTACAAAATCTTTGTTGGGAGTTGCACATGCGCAGTTCCCAGGTAAGGACTACTAGCCAATTAGAAGTGTGTGTCGTAAGAAACAAGGTAGTATGATCCAAATCAAAGCCGCTTCAAGCTGCGACCGTAACCTAGCAGATGGTATAAGTCCACAACATCATTGTTCCACATCTTACCATCAGGACTAAACGTTGAACTGTTGCCGGTGTTCTGACGATCTATGCTGCCTTGCCGAAAAATGCTACCATAGCGCAAATCCATAGACTCGACTCTACTCGGCCCTGCTCCGTTTTCCATTGCAGATAGTACCCAGAGATAGTACGTAGCTTGTCGTCATTGCGACGCCACACACAACTGCCGCGAGTAATGTTCAATGCGACACACACACCAGCGATCCACACAGCTTTCTCTCTTTTAAGTTAAAACATTTCAACATTCCTCAGAATGTAAAGACAGATAAGCGGTATGAAAACCTTCCAGCTGTGTTTTCCTCTGCCGTTGTTGCTGCAGCGGTCTGTGTGACGGCAGGAGCAGAGGGCTCTGTGAGCAGACGGCTGGCCGGCCTCACAAGCTCCTCCTGCGGGTTGGCGCAGGCTTTCCCCGCAGCCACTTGCGGAGCTCCTCAACTCCGAAAATATTCAAGCACATTTTTGTTTCGCCATCACTTCTCGTAAAACTGTCAATATTCGAAATCTTCACAGCTGATTTAACCTCAAAACTTCTCAGAAGTGGATTTAGTGATGAAATTCCATACGAAAACTGTAAAATATAAAACTTTCTGTTGCTGGCCTCTGTCTGGCGCAGCAATGATGATGCAGTGAATAGTGACGATTCTCTCTGACCAATCAGCAGTCATGTTTTCATGTTACATTTTAGTTTCCCTCAGCTGGCTAGTGGATGGAGGTGAGGTGATATGAAAAAAAGTACCTGGAAGCAGGTACAGGTGCAACATTTCTACAATGGAAAACCAGACAAAGGTGAGTGGAGCCAAAGGGCCTCCACTCAGACTAGCTTGGTTTGAGGGCGTGCCTGACCCCAGCTAGCTTGGCAAGCTTTATGACGCGTTTTCATTGTGACGTCACAAGTAAAGGAAGTAAAGGCTGGACTACAAACAAGCTGTTTTCAAGCGGTTCAGAGCAGAGTTTTCTGTGGGAGATGGGAACTCCCTTTGGGCTGGACTTTTTCACTTTGCAAACCTGTTACATGCACAAAAAAGAGATATAACTCAATAAAGGAGAGGGGAAAAGCCAAAAAGCATAATACCACCTCTTTAAGTGTATATAGATCATACTGTATTGCCTATTTTTTTAGGGAACATTATATTTTTTCTCTTATATTGGCCTCTCACTGTTTGAAAACACACAAACATACACACACAAAAAGAGACAAATATAAATGTGCGTGTGAAAAGTGAAAAATTTGTTAAAATAAGCATCCACTTCTCCCACGCACCTCTACTCTGCGTCGACGGTAAAAACATACATTCACCCTTAGTGCAAGCACTCCTGTACGCATGTATATGCATAAAATATCAAGCATAGTGACTTTATTTGAAGTAGGAGATATATATAAAATAGGAAGTAAAATAAATTAGTTTGACAAATAAATAAATTTGACAAATTGCTCCATAAATAAATGAATCTGAACATGTATATACTTTAATGTGTATGTGCTCAAAATACCAAACACAATTTTTTTTTTCATCTTTGGCACCTGCAGATGCAACAGTGGTTTAATGTAGAGGGAGAGCGCCACCTGCTGGAGGCTGAATCAGTTGAGGACTCTGGAGACAAAATGGAGGAGATCCTCAACAGCTTCACTGGTTTCCTTATTGAAGCTAATGTGAGTTTACATTTTCTTGCGGCTGTCATTCTGTCTGTGTATTTGTGTTTCTCTCTCCGTCCACTGGTCTGAATCTCTCTCTCACTCCTCCTCCAGGACCGAAGGCAGCATGCCATGACATTAGTGTCAGAGTCAGAGCGACTCCAGCAGAATGGGCTCTCCTATCCAGAGACAGAGGCATTTTGGACTCTAGTTTGCACCTTCAAGTCAGGCCTGGAGGGCTTTCTGTACAGGGCAGAGGCATGCGGCAGGGAGCTGCAGATCATGGTTAACGTGTGTGATTTTTGTGAGCAGGTTGGTGTAAGATCAATATTCAGAATTTTAGTATCCAAGATGAGTATGTAGCTAGTTCTCTTACCCAGCAGAAACTTTGATTTGGCCCAGTTTGGGACCAAAACCCACTAAGACACCCCTTTCCATGTTAGTGCTTTGCAAATATAAGTATGAGTTTTTGTGAACAATTCATCAGAACATATAAAGTAGGATTAAGTTAAACTACATTCGTGTAATCAAGAATCAGTAGAAAAACATACATCTGTACTACTTTTAAAATTTTTATAGTAGTAGTTTCAGCCTAAGTGCAGTAGCACTGCTACTTCAGTAACATTTGAGTCAGTTGTACCTGAGTAGAGTAACATGATATTAAGAAAAGGACAATAGGGCACACCATTTTATTTTTATGTAACAAAAACCTCCTTAATCTCCAAACAGGCTACATCTCTGGCCAGCGAATGCATTGAGTACCTGGAACAGAGTCAATCCAGAAAATATGCTATGAAAGACCAAGACCAGTCTACAACACCTCTCAATCAAACACACACTCTGCAAATACACCAAAACCAAGACTCTGCATCCGCTGCATCTTCTTCCCCGTCTGATATCCAGGCCAGACATGTCTCAGATCCAAACAACACCAGCGTTTTACTGTCAGGCAATGACAGTTTCATCCTCCAGACTTTCCAAGACAGGTTCCTCCAGTTCAGCCCTGAGAGATTTCAGGAGGTGAAAGCCCAGGCCACCGCCCTGAGGGGCTCCAGGGGGATGCGGGTCTGGAACATAGCCTGGCTGAGATGCCAGGAGGCTAGTCAGCAACTTCAGGAGAGGATGCAAGATGTGGATGAGGTTTTCCACCAGCAACCAGATTCTAGCAGCTTGTGTGAAAGTCATTATATTGATGTGGTGAGCACTAATGTTCAGACACTGTCCCCCGGTGGCCAGAGTCTGGTGGTCCAATCCACTCCCGGACCTCGGCACCCGCAGTGGGAGGGCATCATGTCGGGAGCGGTGGATTTAGGGAAGAGAAAACCTATCCTGGGTGGCAACAGCACTAATTCAACAACTGTAGCCTGCTGTAACATCACTGTCAAACCTGAGGATCAGAGTGATGCGGGACCCAGCCAAGGGTCAGAGGTCACTCCACAGTCACCTCACAGGTAATTTGTTTGTCCATGCATCTCACTCAGCTAGGATTTAGCAGGTGGAGGTTTGCCAAACAGTTCTGAAACATTGTTGTGTGAAAGTAGTACTTGTTCAAACTTGGCTGAACCTATGATGATTCTTTATTGAGCTGGTAGTCAGGCCCAGTATAACACTGAGATGTGGAATTATGATATTATGATGATATTAACAACCAATAATATACGTAGACATTTCAAAATGGCATTACAAGGTGGTTTACAATAAAGAAAAAATCTATTTTACAATTTAAATAGGAGAACAGAAAGAGAGACAAGGAGGAGACAGATGAGCAGAGCGAGGAGTGAGAGAGATGCCGCTGCTCTGTCTCAGTCCCACACTGTGGGCTGCCAGTGGTTTCCATGGGGACGAGGTCTTGGAGTGAGGTCGGTGAGCCAGGACTCATGCACCCCTGGAGTAGCGACGTCGGGGTCATCAACTCCTCCAGAGCAGCGGGTTCGACCCCCGTCATCCTGCTCCCACCACGGTCAGCCATCATGTCGCATCCTTCAGGAGGCGCAGAAGTTCCAGATCTCCCGCCACGGCAGCTTCTGCTCAGAAGACTCCTGCATGAGCAACCAGGGGGCTGCAGGGGGTAATAGGACTTTATGCTGCAAACACTCCAGCCTGCCCATCGGGAGATATGAGGGGGCGTTATGTTTGGCAAATCCACGGGAGAGTGCCAGCAATGCCCTGTAAGTTTACTACATGTGGGTGAAATGCGCTTGCATTACTGATAAAATTGATCTGAACCCGACAAATGCTTTGCAAGATACTATTCGGTTTGAGATAATTCAGTGACCTGCCTTTACTTTGATTAATCTTATGAGATTAATGAGATTTCATGCGCTCTTTTCTATCCCTAAGCTTACAATGAAGTACTACAGGTATTGTTTCCTCTAAATCTCTTTGCTTCTTTTTTTCTACTTGACAACATGGATGGATTACTAAACTGGCCTACCAGACATGGACCCTCTGTTCACAGTGACTGCTAATAATGAGATCTGTGTCTGATTGGAAAGTTAATGGGTTCAGTCATAAGTAGAGATATCACAATCAAATGTTTTGGTTCCTGATAATGATTAGAACAATTTTAAAAATAGATTCTGCTGATCCTGAATGCAGTCAAATAATCGCGTAATGCAGCTGCCAAGTCTATAGGCTACAGTTAGCCTATGGTAAACTTTGGTAAAACTTATGGTAAATAATGTTCCCAGGGGGCCGCTATCATAATCCATCCATACTTGGCATGTTTCTTTTCTATCACAAAATAGCAGCATCTCACAGAGTCACCTGCTGAAATGTAAAAGATGATTTGGTTGATGATTATGATGCATAACCTAAGATAAGTAAATATCATCAAGGTCAGATTTTATGTCATGACGTATGGTGAAACAGGCTGGACAGAGGGCAGCAAAACACTGCTTTTCGGCCTGAAGTTAAGCTAATCTTTAAATATTCCTAAATTCATAATCCTTTCAATATCCTTTCATCAAAACATGTTTAATAAGACAATGAGCCGATACAGAGCCAATCCTGGTCCACCCAGTTCTTCCAACCTTAGATTTAAAAACACCCCACACAAATTTCCTGTTGCATAAAAAAACACCAATTAGGTATTCAAAGGATCAGGAGATCATTTGCAAAACTACTACCTAATAAATACATAACAAAATACATTACTGGTATGTATTTATGTATTCTGGTGTACTAGCTATGTACTGGGTAACAGTATGAAGTATGAAGTTAGTAGATATTTGTTGTGTCTGTGTTACCAGGAGGCTGCAGCGTGTCCTGGAGGAGCTGGTGTTCACAGAGAGAGAATACGTCCGCTCGCTGGGCTACATCCTGACCCATTACCTCCCCCTGTTGGACAGACCAGACATCCCCCAGGACCTCAGGGGTAAGCGAGGAGTCATCTTCGGCAACCTGGAGAAGCTTTACGACTTCCACAGCCATTACTTGCTACCAGAGCTTGAGGCCTGCCAGAGGGATCCCGCCATGGTGGCACGCTGCTTTCTCAGACACGTGAGTACATATGGAGTAACTGTATACTGCAGTGAATATAATTGTATATATGAGTATAGAGTTTTTGAATTGTCATTGATATATTTATGGAGCTTTTTTTTTTTAGCTTAGTTTTTATCAGATTGTGTTTATTTCTTATAATTAAATAAAAATGATAAAGATTATTTAGTAAAATGCCAAATTTCTAATTATAATATACATGAGTCTAAATAGTCCAACATATGATCATGGTCAGATTAATAATATTATACTGTTATCATTGCAGTATGTGGCTACTAAGAGTTAAAGCTGGCTTATTAATACATTTTCAAATATGATTTAACTTGGGCTCTTTCCACAGAGCGACAGTTTTGGCCTGTATGCTCTGTATAGCAAGAACAAACCTCAGTCAGACGCCCTAATCCTACACCGTCGCCATGACATCTTCAAGGTCAGTTTAAGTGTCTCGTCTTTCTCTTAACATAGGAGCGAAGAGTTTCCCATTTTAAATGTTCATAAGCAGATGTTGTACATCCCTTTCATTTTTTTTTTTACATTGGATCTGTACCCCTGCCTGAAATAAAGTGATTTAATTAAATTTAGGTCCAGTCATCAAACCACATCCTTCAAAGCAAGAAAAACATAATCATCTATGCAGTAACCATGGGAAGAGCATTTCATATGTTGTTTCTAGTCTTGATCTGCTGTCCACTACTTGAGCACCTGAACCCTGATGTTTTAACATTTTCAGCTTTGATTGCTGCAGTAGTCATCACAGCCCCAAATTGTTCATCATTCGGTTTTACAGTCCCACTTTGCTTTCCCCACACAGAAGAAGCAGCAGGAGCTTGGGGACATGATGGACCTTTCATCCTATCTGCTGAGGCCCATCCAGAGGATCAGCAAGTACAGCCTCTTGCTGCAGGACATGCTGTCTCTTGCTGGCTCCTACAAGCCAAAAGACATGATCCAGGATACACTGCTCGCATCTAGTGTGTGTGCACAAAGTGTGTGTGGTCCAGATGTGTATGTGCCCGATCTGACAAGCAATGAGATGGAGCGAGAGAGGGCTGAGATCCGAGCCGCTGCAGACCTGGTTCGGTTTCAGATGCGTCACGGCAACGATTTGCTCACCATGGACGCTATCCAGGACTGTGATGTAAGATCTAAAAATTATTGAAAAGAAATACTTGACATGCAGGGAGTTAACAGTCGTTTCTTTTTTTCTGCTCTGCTGTACTTTTCACTGCTTCATCAGGTGAATTTAAAAGAGCAGGGCCATCTGATTCGCCAAGACGAGTTCACAGTTTTCTTTAAGAAGAAGAAATGTGTCCGCCGCATCTTTCTCTTTGAAGATCTTGTCCTCTTCAGCAAGACCAAGAGGACAGATATTGGCAACGATGTTTATGTCTACAAGCAGTCATTCAAGGTCTGCACACATCCTCGTCTATCAAAAGGCATTGGAGCCTTAATACCCAACCTTATTTTCTACTGTCATGATATACAGTATAGTATACTTCACAGCTGTTTTCCAGTAATTTTGATTTACACCTCAAAGCCATCTGGAGCCTCCAGTATGCAAAGTTTCTTAGTGAAGTTAAAACACCTAACCACATATGATTATTTCCATCTATGTAATTTCTGTGTGTCTCTTTTTGTTTTCTCTCCCAGACAAGTGACATTGGGATGACCCACAACTCAAGTGTGAGCGGTTTGTGTTTTGAGATCTGGTTCCGCAGGAGGAAAAGTGAGGACACCTACACCCTGAAGGCCTCCAGCATGGAGGTGAAGAAAGCCTGGACTACTGACCTGGAAAAGATTCTTTGGGATCAGGCCACTCACAGTAGAGGTTGTAACAACAGCACAGCAACATGGCTTACATATAGAGTATAGTTTACAAACTGCTTTACAGGTTTAACAAACATATTGTGAATATACTGTGCTCCAGAGCTGCGTCTGCAGGAGAGGGTTTTCATGGGAATGGGCCGCAAACCTTTCATGGACATTCAGCCCAGTGATGCTGCCATCTGTGACCGAGCCATCAGCTGTAGCCTGCCTGGGAGAAGTAAGAGGCTGCACACACTATTAGTGTCTTTTCGATAGAACTTAGTTTATTTAGTTTGGAATTTTTCTTCAGACTTTGGTGATCACCCTTGATTTTTAATCAAGCACCATCATCAGGTTAAAGTTTTGACTTTTCCAGTACATCTGCAAAACTAATGAAACAATTAACCATAAGCACATGATGAACATGGAAAACTTATTAATTATACCTTCTAAACATTACCATATTACCATTGCGGGCATGTTAGCATTTTGATGTTAGCATTTAGCTTGAAGCACTGCTGTGACAGAGGGACAAGCATGGCTATAGACTAGTCTTGTTATCAGTTTTTTAAAACATCTTTTACATTTTGTTGTTACATTTAACTAAACAAAACTAGCTAACAAATGTAATGTTACAAAACTAAATACGTTTTCCTGAAATAACTGCAACAGTTATGCTTGTGGCCTAATTGCTCACTGACCCAGCCCATTATTTTCTCACCGATGTGTCGTCAGTCCCTGTGGCGTGTTGTTCACACAGGGGCTTAGAATATCCACGACCACACTCCATCGGCTCTGGAAGCACGGCCTCCACTACCCTCAGCCAATCATCTTCCTCCTCTGGCCGGGGCTCGCTCCCCCCTGCGGGTTATCCCGGGAACCAGTCACAAGGAGTGGAGCCCAGTCCTGCAGTTTGCTTCTCACCTGAGGCTGTGGCTGAAAATGAACTCAACAGCCTTCATCTTCATCAGCATCATCTTCATTGTAACTGTGAACAATGGAACATACATCATCCTCCGAGTGAGTTTGTTTGTTGGTCTTTGTTAAATTTTTTAGTTGAAGGCAGACAGAAGAGTCTGTTTGCTGTTAAATTCTTAGCACAGTAGAACCTGAGACTCTAAATAAACATCTGATATCTATAAAATCTAATGAAAATGTTTATATATGATAATCAATCTGAAGTAGTGAGCCATTTGAAGAGGAGATCGTATTTTTAAAGCCACTATAGATTTTAAAATTCTTTAGTTTGACATCTGATGGACTGGCGACCTGTCCAGGGTGTACACCGCCTATCGCCCGATGTCAGCTGGGATTGGCTCCAGCCCCCCCGCGACCCTGTACACAGGATAAGCGGTTGACGATGGATGGATGGATAGTTTGACACCATATGGTGGTAGCATCAAGAAAGAAACTGTGGCAGACAGCAATGCATGCTATATGTACCATATCTGGACAATGTTAACATTTTTCCTCAAAGAAGTTGGGACGCCATTAAGTGATCCACACTCTCAGCTTTTATTGTTTCTCAAAGTATCAGTTGTGTTTCTGCTTTAGTGGACAGCACTGGATCGTCTGGAGAATGTATCGACCTCTTCAGCAGCTCAGACCGCAGCTGCCTTTCTGCCATTGGTGGAGAGGAAGTGGACGACTCCTCCTCATTTGTATCCCAGAGTTCAAAGCCCTGCCCACCACTTTGTCGGACCCCCAGTCTGAGGAGAAACGGCCCACCAGTGGTTACCAGAAAGAAACCAGCTGTCGCCCCCAAACCTCCACATCTGGCTAATCTGTCTCAGGTAGAGTGTACAAGTGTGACCTGGTGAATTGTATGCATTTATTATATGTAGAAGCTGAAGACAATGCGTCAGGACTCAAAATGTTCTCCGCTTCTCTAATGATAACAGTTGTGAAGGCTTTCTTTAGCACACTGAAGAAACGTGTCCAAACAGATGATGAACCAATTACTTATTCTAGAGCTTGTTTTTGAAAATTTTGCATATTATTATATTTGATATCTTGCATTGCAGGGTGATGACATTATAATCGGAAAATCAACAGAAGTTTAACCCTGGATTCCCTCCAGAAGGTAATGTTATTAAATTAACATACAGTTAAACTGAAAATTAAAAACAAAATTAAACAGGACAAACAGTAATAATAATAATGTTACAAAGTGCTTCACATATAGGGCAGAAGGCCCAGAGGTAGCATGTGCAACAAAAGCAGAATAGGTTCAAGAATCAATCCTTTTGAGTCCCAAAGAAGGTTAAAGTCAAGGGCAACTGGACTTGGTTGAAGATACTAGAAGATGTTTCGTCCCTCATCCAAAGGACTTCTTCAGTTCTGACTGACTGGTAGAGAAACTCAGCTGTTTAACCTCAGTGGGATTGTTTGCCAGGCTCGTCGATACCGCTGGTTCATAAGTGTTCCTGGCTGTGGTAACGACAGTCGTTATGGTCGTTTGGACTACCCGAGGCCAAGACTGAATGACCATTGTTGGCATCCTCACCTGAGGCCAATAGGTTACATTTGTTGAGTTTCCTGGGAAGTGATGAAAGGACAGGATTGTAAGTGGGGGATAAGTGGTGGCGTTGTTCAATGACGGCTTCTCAACCCTGGTGTAGATGCTTCCTCGACACCTCTTTCAAACCATCCATCTTCTCTGTCTAAAATGTGCACCCGGTGGTCCTCAAACGAGTGTCCTCTGTACTTCAGATGTAAGTAGACTGCAGAGTCTTGACCTGAGGAGTTGGCCCTTCTGTGTTGAGCCATGCGTTTGTGTAGTGGTTGTTTAGTCTCCCCAATATACAGGTCTGTGCATTCCTCACTGCATTGGACCGCATACACTAGATTGCTTTTCTTGTGTTTGGGTGTGCGGTCTTTGGGGTGTACCAGCATCTGTCTTAGTGTGTTCTTGGGTTTAAAAACACAGGGATGTTGTGTTTGTTGTCCTCCTGAGTTTCTCTGATACTCCAGACACGTATGGAATCACAATGTTGTTGCGTTTGACCTTCTTCTCCTCCTCCCCTGTAGTTTTGTTCTTCTTGGATCTTGTGGCTGTTTTCACAAAAGGTCCATTTAGGGTATCCACAGGCTGTAAGTGCCCCCTTCAGGTGGTTCTGTTCCTTCTCTCTGGCTTGGGTGCTTGTTGGTATGTTTTCTGCTCTGTGGTGCAGTGTCATGACCCCTAGCTTGTGCTCCAGTGGGTGGTGGGAATCGAAGAGTAGTTATTGGTCTGTGTGTGTGGGTTTTCTGTAAACACCAATTTGCAGGCTCCTGTCCTCTCCAGTGTGTACAGCGCAGTCCAAGAAGGCCAAACTGAGTGGAATCAATACAAGAGAATTGTAAGTGGACAGAAGAAGAAGAAGAGCACAGGAAGTGCATGTTAGAGGTTAGGAGTTAGAGGTGTTATAAGAGAAAGTGTTCTCGGTAGAGATGAGTATTTTTCAAGAGCTGCTCTGATGGCGTGTGGTAGCTCGTTTCACGACTGTGGTGTTACACATAAGGAGAGCCGGGACTGAGATTGCTTGCGTGTCGGGATGGCAGAGCCAGGCGGCGTTCATTGGAGGAGCACAGTGGCCGAGAAGGAATGTAAGCTTGTATTATGGAGTTTAGGTAGATGGGTGCAGACCCAATAGTCACTTTGTATGCAAGCATTAGTGACTTGAATTTTATATAGGAAGCCACGAGTAGTCAGTGTTGCTGAGTAATGGAGTGACATGAGTCCTTTTGGGCTGATCAAAAACAAGACTCCCTGCTGCTTTCTGAACCATTTGTAGGGATTTAACTGCACAAGCTGCAAGACCTATTAGGAGGGCTTTGCAGTAGTCGAGGCGAGATATAACCATGGCCTGTACCAGAAGCTGGGTGGCATACTGAGTGAGGTAGGGCCTGATTTTTCTTATGTTGTGTAGAGCAAAGCGGCATGACCGAGAGACAGAAGCAACATGGTCTGAAAAGGACAGCTGGTCATCAATCATGACACCCAAGTTTCTCAACACCCTGATTCGAGTGATGGTTGAGGAGTCAATTTGTAGTTTGATGTTATGGTGGATAGATTGCTTGGCTGGAATGACCAAGAGTAATAAAGTCACAGAGTCATAGTCTGGTGGTGGTACAACAGCGGATTTCTTGTATGCATGTCTTGCCAGAAGTCTGTCAATTAAAATGGCATGATCAAGGGTGTCAAAGGCAGCAAATAAGTCAAGTAAAACTAATATATTTCCCTTTATCTGCATACATAAGTATATTATTTGTTACTTTGAGCAGTTTCAGTGCTGTGTTTTTGATAGGAGCCAGATTTATCAAAGATATTGTGTCCCTCAACCTGGGGCTAGCCTGATCTTATTTGGTGCAATGGTATCAAGAGCAAAGGAGCACAATTCAAGTCAATAATATTGGAAAACTTAGGAATTGTCGTGGACATATCAGAAGAGAGCTGAAAACCTAACTTAAGAGTGCTCATTAAATATTGTTTCTAAGAAGTTAGGATTGACTGTAGACATATGCATGGAGTTTCAGAGTCAGACCAAGGATAAAAACAACATAAAAGGGTGTGCCACAGCCATTAGGGAATTAGAGGGATCATCTATGAGAATGTTTAACTCACCTACAATAATGATCTTGTCAAGTTTGAGTACAACATGAATGCAGGTTAGTACATGGTTGTACAATATATAGAGGGTCTGTTTAAGCATTCACTGGGATGTCACACTCAGTAGTTCAAAACTAAGAAAAGATCCAGCAGTAAATAAGACATAGTTGAGGTGGTTCTTACAAACCACTGCAATGCTCCGACCACAGCATATAGACCATTGTGGGGCACACACTATGGGGCATTCAGGAAGTTATAGTTAGACAGGCAAAGCTCCACCAGGCGGAAGCAGTCGTTTGATCAGAGCCAGGTCTCAGTAAGATCAAAATTGTGGGAGGTAACAAAGTCATTAAGATTTTTTACCTTTTTTTTTTTTTGGTAATTCTACCCGGTCAGCTCTTACGCTTTTATATTTTGCTATTTTTAGAATTTGATTGTATTTTTATTGTTGTGAATATTTTATCATATTTTTTCCAGCTGTCAAGTCCTGTTGGAGATCTTCTGGTCACCCTGCAGATGGACGGTTTTAGAGTGAAAAATGTTATTTTGTGTGGCAACACATTGACACGGCAGTCAGCTTTGTCTGGTCACAAGGTCTTGTTTTTAAGGATTTATTGAAGAAATTGAGGTTTGGTGTGTTGGTAATATGTAATATTATATAATAAGATAATGTAATAATATTTGAACAAAAACACAATATTGCAACATTGAGCCGCCAATACAGAATATGTCTTTGTCCACAACATGTGGTGCTTTGGTCCAGTTAAATCATCTTCATCATCAACCATTTTTTTGTTTTAATGTGGAACAAAGTAGCATCTGCTACTGCTACAGTGCATTAAAAACATGAAGAAAACATTTCTTTATGTCCTTAGTTTAAATAGCTCAAAATGGGAATGAATATTTATATATCTATGCTACACATAAATTCACCAACAATTCAAGAAAAACTGTTCATCCTAACAAGTTTTTTCCTGATTTTGCTCAGAAAACCAACCACGTGGTTAACTGTCTCTCCTGTCAGATTTGCCTGCATGTCACATGTCTACAGACTACACTGTTCATTAAATTAGAACATGCTCTTGCATACATATTTAGTAATGAGTAGCATGTATTTCCACCATCTACAATAGCAAATAATTAGACAGTATGTGATCAAAGGATGCATTAAAAAATATTTTTTGTTGGATCTTCTATGCTGTACGATTATTTATACGCAGTTATCAAACAAGGTTATATTTCTTAACCCCATGGACATCAACAGCTTGCGTGGAACAAACACATAGCACCTGCTCTGAGAGCAAACCTCACATGTGGGAGACCATTTCAGTCCAGTGACAAAGTAAAGTGTATTGCTCTGCGTTTCGTGCTCCTTTTCATTCGCAAGCAGGCAACGCATTGCTTGAGAAGCAATTGTATATCAGGATTCTTACAGCTGGACTACATTCATTTGGTTAAAAGATCGCAAGGGAAACTCAATGGACTCCAAGATACAGTTCAAGTCCAGAGCTATCCACTGGCCATAAGCCCAGAAGCTGAAGACCTAAATTAAAGTTGATGACCATAAATGGAGACACATGTGGATACGTGTGCAGATATGAAAAAGTAAAAATTTTTGATAGTATAGTAATTAATACATAAAGGTATTTCTATTACTCCTACACTTTTTAAAGGGTTTGTGTTTATTTTTGGGGGTGTTTTTACACTACTGCTATATTTCTAAACATTTTTTTGCCACCTGTCTGGCCCTGAGGACATTACGGTAGTCCTGTATTTAATAGTTTATCAGAAGGGAGAGACCACTTGGGGATTTGTTTTCACATCTGGATTTGAAGTAGGAGAGAGCGGGGGCAAAAGTACCGTTTTTCAGAAAAACCTGATTTGAAAAGATAATGTTTCAGACAGAAATATATTTTTGCTGTGGTCACTAACTCACAGGTGTGGTCTATCAATATCAGGTGGTATGTTGTACAAATGTAGAACGACTTCCGTATAATTTCACTTTAAACATAAGTGGCACATTGTTACTTTCTACCCCGTCAGCTGGGTCAAAAGTAACACAACAATACAAGCTAGATTTTTTGTGTTACACATGTATTTAATAAATAAACATGACTGTGACCTTGTTAATGTGTAACTGCAAACATCTTTTGTCCTTTATATTTAAAAAAAAAATTTAATAAAATATTTATTTTAAATATTCAGTTTCAAAAATAATCTGCCCAAACTTGAATTTTTTAGAATATTTCATTTTATATTAAGGATGTATTATAAATATATAATATAAATATGCAAATATGTGCACCTAAAACAGGGTGGGAATGGTAAGATGGACATTGTTATGTCTTGTTTTATTTTAAGCATGTCACATGCTTAAAATAAAATAAGACTTTACTGATCCTGCACAGGGGATATTTGTATGTTGCAGCAGTTTCAGAAAGTGAAAAATAGAATAGGCCTATACAAATTTCACATTTTGAAATGAATTTATATTTGTTTTAGTAAGAACAGTGTAAGTGATCTGCATTTTGAGTGCTTTTTACTGACACCTACTACACTGACCTCCTTAGGAGACAGGCCAAAATAAATATCAGCTGCTCTCTTAATATAAGCATGCAACTTCCTCTCCTAGTCCAAGGAGAAGACTTAATAATGTGATCTGTACCTGTAGTCTAGTCTTCTCCCCAATTATCTCTGCCCTTCTCCTACATTATCTGAACAAAGCGCATGGAATGTGCCATGCGACTGACCTGAGACTAATGTTTCTAATAGAGATGTCCAGAAACACCTTCTCATAAACATCTGGGTGAATCAGACCTCTGTCTTTCTGACCCACGCTGTTGGCATATTCTGTTGGTATAATATGATATAAACATGCTTTAATAAATGCTGCAACACAGAAAGTCACCACATTAGCAGCGGGACAAAAGAAACACTTGTGGTCAGGTGTAGCGGGACGTGGCGTGCCGACAGGAACTCCTGACATCTAAACACAATTTATTTTTATCCTAAAAACTCTGACAGGGCAAACTTCAGGGTGTGTTAAAGCACTAAATAACCTGTAGATTAATCAGTACTGTGACACCTGAAACGAGTCGTGTTTCAGAAGAGTCGCGCTTCAGGAATTTACTTGCAGTGCTCGAAAACAGTTTTGCGAAGACGGCCGCAGGAAACGATGACAAAATCATGCAGTAATTTGGCAGCTCCATCAAGGGTTGCATACTGAAGGTGCTGTCACAGCTTAGACTGCAAATGTCAGTCAGGGCTCTGAGAAAATGGCCTTGTTACTTTCGTCCCATGTTACTTTCGCCCCGGTTTACCCCTACTCTGTAACTCATGCATTTAAGAGAGAAAAGATCTTGAAAGACTGGGTTTGTCTACTTAAGAATTTGGGGGTTGGGGGGTGTGCTTTTATTTTAGATAGGACAGTCAAGAGTGACAGGAAATAAGGGAGAGAGAGAGAGAGAGACATGCAGCAAAGTGCCACAGGCTGGACTCAAACCGGGCCGCTGCAATAAGGACTGCCTTGTACATGGGGCGTACATGCTACCAAGTGAGATAGCCGCACAACAGTTGTCTGAAATCATAATCTTTAGCAAGGACACAACACGACTACCACTTACTGTTATTTAGGGTCCACTAAGGGTTCCATACTGAACAACGTTCCATCTTCACTCTCATGAAAATGACCATTATGAACTAGTATTTTCAGATTATTTAAATGATTTTTAATATTATGTTATTGATGAAAACTGCTTTTTTGTAAGCTCTGTGATTTTATTGCCTGGGCAAAATGTACAGTCTACAAATGACTTATTGTATTTTATTTTAAAGCCACTAGCTTCCTATGGCATGGCTGATCCATGCCATTTCTGTTTTCTATCACTTTTTTTAATTCCTTACTTGCTTTCTTACCAGTTTTTCTTTTGTTAATGTGTTAATTCATTATATTGTTTGATTATTCAAATGTGGGGTCAGTGTGATTGTTTGTTAGTTTTTTCTTTCTTCTGAGAAATTTCAAACATCAATTTGTATCATTTCTTCCTTCTGAAAGCTGTGTTACCTTTAGTGGGTGACCGGGCAGATTGCAGTAACACGAGGATGTGACACCAGACTATGTGATGATGCTTCACTCCCCTAAGCCCCAGACACACAAATTCCTCAGAAGGACAGCGGTAGATACTTATTGCAAAAGTTTGCATTGCCCTTTGTGCTGACTGTAGAAATCTGTTTTTCAGTTCTTTATTTTATGTTTCAGTGGTATACTTCTGACTAGAAGTGTTTTTTTAATTAATACATATTGTGGTAAACTTTTACGAAATGTAAATTTTCATAGTCCCATCTGTTCAGCTTGTACTGAACAGTTTTGTTTATTTTATCTGTACACCAAATTAGAAAGACTGTACAGTCAAATTGCCCGTTCATGATTTTCAGCTTCCTCCAGAAATTTGGAAAAGTTAAAGTGAAAATCTCATCATGCTGACCTTGGAAAATGTATTTTACAAAAGAAAAAAAACTAAATCTTTTAACTATATGATGTAATTTTCAGTTTTGCATTATATTTTATTCATCAGTTTTTGATGCATTTTGAAATGTAATATTTTGTTAATGTTGAATCATACATTAATATATAGAATATGCAGCTACAAAAAATGGCATAATTTATCAATAAACATCTTTGTTGCTTTACATGTAGATATGTTTGATGTTAGTTGTTATATTGTTGCATTATATTGTTATGTTTTGTTGTACATTATGTGAGACAAACACAGAAAATAAATGAATAAAAAAAACAAAACAACTTGTGAACCACCAGTAATTTGCTGACTGAGGACAAATTTTGGTAAAAAAAAAAAATTTATACTGCTTGAGTTGACAGCTTTTGTTTCCAGCAGAAATCTTTCACAATAGCTTAAAAGGTCATGGCCAAATTTAACAAGAAAGATGAAGGAGTGTTGTAAATCTACTTGCCCTCCCTCAGTAAAAACAGGAGTACTGGTTAAATGACAAATGGGTGTGTCAAGATCAGGTTTCGTGCTACAAATATCCTTCCTGGACTGGACTGTGGCACTGCAGACTTATTAAACTATAAGAAGAAATTGAGGGACAGCAGCTTCACAGCAAACATGAGTAAAGGTAAGGTGTTAGAAAAACATTTGTCTCAGATTCAAATGTTATTAGTTGTATTATCTACAGGTTAAGATGCAGTTTATCTCGGTGTTACTACACACAGTCAAACTATTTTGAGTAAGTTTCAGACTGAGAGTTAGGTGTGAAATGTGATGAGCAGGTATGGTGGACATTAGATATGTAAGATCTAGAACAGTACAATACAAAAATTCTCTCTCTCTCTCGAAACTTAAAGAGTTTGTACATTTCAGATAAGCAATCTGTGTTTCTATTGCTTCAAACAGTCTTGGTCATTGAGCGCTGTGATCTGGACATTAAGAGGAACAGCCGCAGTCATCATACAGAGCTGTGTGCACAGGAGCGCTTGATTGTCAGAAGGGGACAGCCCTTTAACATCATGTTACATCTGAAATCTGGCAGCAAAGAGTTCAAACCGGGTGAAACAAGCTTCACGTTCATCGCTGAAACTGGTAAGCTTCTTGTTCCCCAGTGATTAGTATGAGAAGCAGCGTAGGCCAAAATTGAAGACTTCGCTTGCATACAGAGTATTTATGTATGCGCAGTATACATACATACATACATACATACATACATACATACATACATACATACATACATACATACATACATACATACATACATACATACATACATACATACATACATACATACATACATACATACATACATACATACATACATACATACATACATACATACATACATACATACATACATACATACATACATACATACATACATACATACATACATACATACATACATACATACATACATACATACATACATACATACATACATACATACATACATACATACATACATACATACATACATACATACATACATACATACATACATACATACATACATACATACATACATACATACATACATACATACATACATACATACATACATACATACATACATACATACATACATACATACATACATACATACATACATACATACATACATACATACATACATACATACATACATACATACATACATACATACATACATACATACATACATACATACATACATACATACATACATACATACATACATACATACATACATACATACATACATACATACATACATACATACATACATACATACATACATACATACATACATACATACATACATACATACATACATACATACATACATACATACATACATACATACATACATACATACATACATACATACATACATACATACATACATACATACATACATACATACATACATACATACATACATACATACATACATACATACATACATACATACATACATACATACATACATACATACATACATACATACATACATACATACATACATACATACATACATACATACATACATACATACATACATACATACATACATACATACATACATACATACATACATACATACATACATACATACATACATACATACATACATACATACATACATACATACATACATACATACATACACCCCCTCAGCTTCTTTGTCAGTGGTCGTCTTGGAGGTGTGTTAGCTCCTCAGTGCTGGCAGCACTCATGCACCCCCAGACCATGACACTCCCACCACCATGCTTGACTTGTACTCCTCACCTGGTTGCCGCCATACACGCTTGACACCATCTGAACCAAATATCCTTAGTCTGCTAGTCTTCAGCAAACAATGTGCGAGCTTTCTTGTGCAGAATCTTTAGAAGTAGGTTACTTCTGGAACTTTCAGATCCTCAGAGAGTTCTTTGCCATGAGGTGCCATGTTGAACTTACAGTGACCAGTATGAGGGAGTGTGAGAGCGATAACACCAAATTTAAAACACCTGCTCACCCTTCACACCTGAGACCTTGTAACACTAATGAGTCACATGACACCGGGGAGGGAAAATGGCTAATTGGACCCAATTTGGACATTTTCACTTAGGGGGTGTACTCACAAGCGTGTATGTCTTTATGTGCATTAAAGTCTTTATGTGCATAAAAGTATGGATCTGCAAGCGCAGTATTCAATTTTGGCATCTCATAAATTAGATGTTACATGTTTTTATATGTATGTTTGTGTGTGTATATATACATATGGGGGAATTAAAGAAAAAATTAAAGAAAAAAACAACATGAAGTGTCTCTGCATTGTCTTGGACGTTGGTCCAAAATATTCCACAGGCGTTCACCTGTGTTGAGATCTGGTGACTGTAAAGGTCATTGTAAAGGACTGTAAAGCATGTTTTTCACATGCACGGAAGCATCTGCATTTGATATGTTTCTCCTTCTCTTTTATTCAGCTTTTCCTTTAATTTGACCTTCGTCTGTGTATAAACTTTAAGTGTATGCATGTGTGTGTATATGGATTTGTGTTTCTCTCATCTGGATTTAGATTTAATATTCATGTTCATCACTTGTTCTCCAGGTCCATTACCCAGAGAAGAATCAGACACTAAGGTTTCCTTTGGTCTACGTGACTCCACAGTTGACACTGAGTGGAGTGCGTCTGCCACTAATGATCCTTCTGGAAACACAGTATCTGTATCTATCAGTTCCTCACCCAATGCCCCCATAGGGGTCTATTCTCTGACTCTGGACCAGGAGGGGCAGAAGACCAGTTTAGGACAGTTCATCCTGCTTTTTAATGCTTGGTGTCCAAGTGAGTATATTAAGTTTTTTCCTCCTCCATATTAAATATTGTGCTTTATTTATATTTTGTTGTGCTCCAAACACAGCTTGTTTTTCTTTTTAATGCTCACCGTGTTTACATTTGCACAATTAAATGTAAGTTAAAGTTATGTACCCCTAGCACGAGGGGTGGATTGGCCATCTGGCAATTCTGGCAATTGCCAGAGGGGCTGGACTATTTGTTTTGGGGTGGGCCGGTCAAACTGATAATATCAGTGTTTCCTACACATAGGCTTTACTTGGGTGGGCTACTCAGGTACATTAATGGCCGCCCAAGTAGGCCTACAGCCTATTTGGTGACCCATTTAAGCATTTTTCAGAGAAACACTGAGAGAGATGCCATGTATTCTTTAACAAGATGCAGATACGGGGGATATTTTACAAGCACAGACCAGGTAAAGCAACAGTGAACACACCGTTGCAGTTGGTTTCGGTTTCGATAGGCTTCCTCATTATCATGCCTCCTCCGCCTCTGAGCACCTGCAGCTGAAAACGGAATCATGGGTGGAAATTGCGAGTGCTGTGTCATTTTGGCCACTTCATAAAATATAATGAACATGAATGTGTGTTCGTGAGTGGGGATATGTGGTAACGTGGGCTGGTGTGGCTACAGGGCCAGGGCTGAATTTCTGTCGCACTCCGCCTCTGCCTAGCACCATAGCCATAAACATTAGCCATTAGCCAATAATGCTTTGTCTGTACTGACTCACAGGAGATGCTGTTTACATGCGCAGTGAGACAAAGCGCCAGGAGTATGTTTTAGCACAACATGGGCAGATCTACAAAGGAACATATAAACGAATCAAAGGGATACCCTGGAACTATGGACAGGTACACAAAAAGTTCAGTAAACTGTACACAGAAAAAGCATAATCTCTAAATGCTTCTTTATTCATTTACATGGTTCTATTTTAACATCCAGTTATTTTTATCGATCAAGTTTACTAGGTTAATAACTAGGTTAATAACTTAATGGACACAAACCCTTACATGCTGCTCTTCTAAATCTCCTTCTGTCTCATCTGTTTGTTTTTCTGTATGCAGTTTGAACCAGGAGTATTGGATATCTGTCTGAAGATCCTCGATACAAACCCCAGATTTGTGTGTGATGCTGACAAGGACTGCTCTGCAAGGAGAAATCCCATCTATGTGACCAGGGTGCTCAGTGCAATGGTAGGTCCACCCTTTGGTAAGAGCTGAGACCATTTGAATGCACTCATTCTGTGAATAGCATTACCAAGGTGCGCATTTTGAGGGATCTATTGTTCTGCAGGACACAATCTCTCAGTGTTTTGAAGTCTGCAACCACAGCTCCAGACTCTACAGCTCCACCCAGAGGAAAAATATTTTGCTCAGAATAGTATTTTCTTTAACTGTTGAAAAAGCACTAAGATCTTAATTGTATATATTTTTGAGATCACTTCAGTCCGAATTGTTGCTCCTAAAACCGCCTTAGGAGAAAAGATGAGATAAGGAGAGATTGAGGTTTTGAGACTTAGGTAAGAAAAATGGATATTCAATTGAGATTTCTATAGGAGAAATGGAAGAGATGTCATTATTGTATCTTTTTGAGTTCATTAATGTTTTGCTTATTGCTCCTATAAAGCACTTAGTAGCACTAGGGAGATGTTAAT